TATAGCTCAGCCCAAGGATAGAAATTATATCTGGAAAGACATAATGATTTGGCTTTAAAATGAACTAAAACACCCAGGCTGCAAGCACTAAGGCATTGTTATGTAGAAAAATATTTAGGCCATGAGAGGACAATGGCAATCCAAAGAAGAAACCAGGACATTGGAAAACAGCCCTCAGATAATGATAGCTCATTATTAGGACATTAAAATCGTCTGGGTTTCAAATAATGGTCTCAAACAGAAACTAGGCCACTTGATCTGTACTGAAAGACCAGATCCTTCCACAGACAAATGTTTTGGAAAGTAAAACTTTGGCTAGTTTCTTGCTTTATAAGCAGAGTAAATGGATGGCAGAGTGGTACAAGTCATCTCAGCTTTGGAAAAGCTACATGGAGAAAATTTGATCTGAAGTTGTCAGGATTGAAATTACAGTAGACCTGAAGTTCAACAAACACACTGTGTGTCTGGACAGAACACTGGCTGTTCTTTCACAATTCCATTAATGCTTGGGCTCCTTTTTGAGAATTGCCTCCCCTATATTCTGAGTCTTTAGTGGAAAGTAAGTTTCTGTGTATGCATTTACAGATAGGTCTTCAGGGTTTGACATCTTCCTTGTACTTTGATGGACTGGGCACACAGCCTAACCTGGACTGACTGGGTGTTTTGTTTTGGGATTTTGAAACTTGAAAGCATAAAGACCAGGCAGGAGGAATATAGTTGGAGAGAATTCTTTCTGGAGAAATAGACCCACAGATTTTTGCTTGTTTGTTTTTCTGAGATAATCAGAGGCTTCTAGGTCTTAGCCTTCTGATGCTCTCCATTCTTTCAATCTTTGAATTCCTTAAAAAAAAATAATTTTCCTCATCCTTAAAAAATCCATTTCTGTTACTTGCCTTGCGTAATCACAACGGTTCCATTGTGGATGTTAAACACAGCCCACCTGCAGAGATAAGTCTTTGCAATAAATTTTAAGTTTCCCTACAGAGTAGGGGTCGTTGATGACACTTTAAGAATGAAAGCATTTGGAAGGCATGCACACTGTTAGTACTCTTCCACCTCAGATGCCTGACATGTAGTTTTCCTAAGAATGAATAGTTCTTGGAAAATGTAAAGATTTCTTGTAAACTAGTCCCTTTAGAGTTGGGAATAAAAGCCTACTTTTATACCCCCCCCCAAAAACCCACATAACTGTACATAAAATTATAGTTTAGTCTTACCTTTATTGTTAAAAAGGAGTGCTTTAAGTTTTTGCTGTCATCATTTTAATTGTATGTATTTATGGGGCACACTGTAACAATTTGGTACATGTATGTATGTAGTGTGTGCTTATCAAATCTGATAGTTAAAATTTCTGACTCCTTGAATCATTAGCTTTTTTACTGATACGTAATACTACAGATATTTCAATGCATGCATATGAGGAGTACGACACCAATAGGATTGATGTTTTCTACCTCTTCATTTCTTTATGACTGCAGCCTTGGAGCCTTTTTCTTCTAGTTTTTCGAGATACGGAATGCATTATTAAAGCAATATTTGTTAGTCACACTGTTCTATAGGACACTACGGCTTATTTCTTCTGCCTTTGGGTAGACACTACTTAACTCCATATTGATCCTTGCTCATATTTCTCCTTTAAAAATACATTTCCTGTTTATTATTTAATAATTTCTTATGTACATACAATGTATTTTGATTATCTCCACCCTACCCTTTTTTTCTCTTTTCCCCAATACCCCTCAGATCCTCTTCCAACCTTTTATACTCTTTTTGTTGTTGTTGTTTATAATCCATTGAGTTCAATTTGTGTTGTCCCCATGTTCTTGGACACAAGGCCGTCCATTGGAATACAGGCAACTTACTCTGTGTGTGTGTATGTGTGTGTGTGTGTGTGTGTGTGTGTGTGTGTGTATCACACCCATGAAGAAAAATTATCCTCCCTCTCCCAGCGGTGTGTGACCTCATGATCCTCTCTCTCATCCATGCTGGAATGTTCATTAGTTTGCTATCGTGAGGACAACTCTAGCTGTTGTGAGTTCGTGAGTACACCAATCGTGCAACATCCGGAAGACACTGTTTCACAGTAGTACTTCCCAACCTCTGACTTACGTTCTTTCTGCCTCCTCTCCTGTCATGTTCCCTGAGCCTGTTGGGGTGTATGTTACATGTGTCATATTGAGAGGTGAACATGTCACAGTCACTTATTCCCTGCACTTCAACCAGTTTTGAGTCTCTGTATTAACCACTGTCCTCAAAAAAGCCTCTCTGATGAGGTTCAAGAGCTGTACTAATCTATGAACATAAAAGGTAAGTATTTGGGAGGAGTTTTGATACCGTGTCCATTTAGCAAAATAAAGTAATGCTTCACTAGGGTATTTGACCTTCCTGGCCACAGATTCTTGGTCAGGTTTACCATAACAGGCTTAAATTCCATCTTGTGGAGTGAACCTTAAACCTAACCAGGAAGTGGTTGGTTATACAGCAACCATCTTTGCCATTATCTTTTGATACAGATACCTACACAAAAATAGGGCAGAATAAATTAGGGGATATTAAAATATTGTGCGAGACTAGAAGTCATGCATTAGTTATGCATGTTTCCTGAAGCTGTATTCCCTTTGTGACACATTCCAAGCACTGATGTTGGCTAAACTACCTTTATGAGGAAGCCTGCTAGGCTGCTAGGTAGCTGTGCTTCATAAATCCTTTTCTCTTGATGGTGAACTGAAATGTATCTTCCTTTAAATTGTACACATTCTAACAATGATGATGTTATGGTCCACGTACATCTCATTCACCACTTTGCAAATACCTTTTGTGTATACCTTCATTGGCTGGTGGTCAAGTGAATGTAAATTCATTGAGAAATCAAAACAGCCCTGGAGCCTCCTATTAGTACAGATTCTAGCCATTGTGTATAAAAGAAACGCTATTAGATGTCAGTCACGGGAACCTGTGTTAGCTGTCCATCTTTTACTCGCCTCAGAAAAAGCACATGGATCTGAGAGGGTAGCCCTACTGCTTGTTCATCTTGATCCTTGCTCTCAGTTGTCCAGCGCTTTCAGCTTCTCTGTGAGCACCCTTTGATACACAAGACCATGCCTGGATCTTTTTACAAAGCCTTTCCTTAGGATCTACAGACCTGCTCCACAGACCGTGCTAACAGTGACCCCTCTGTGTGGTTTTCTTATCCCCTCTTGTTTCCTGCAGACTCTGGTGGACTCATCATAGTTATGACTATCATCTCCTAGTAATGGGACATCTCAGATCTGCCCCCTCTCCCTCCTGATGCTGTACTCTTTGAAGTCTCCTAAAGATATATGGGAAATGGTAAACAATTTATTTCCCAGTTGAACAGCAACTATCTTTTATCTAAGTCAGTCATTAAAATTTATCTCCTTATACTCAATATTGATGGTAATAATTAAGAAAAGAGAGAAGTTGGATACAAAAAGCAAGTGTATTCTGGATCAGAGAATAAAGTCTTTTTCTGTGATTGCCTTGGTTGAGAGAAAGCCAATCAAATTGGAGCAGATGTTGCACATCTCTGTCTTAAGGAGGAGGGTGCTTTGCTTCTTGCTTGACACAGGTGATTAATTTTCAAGCATATTATTCCTTTATAATATGTATACACATAAAATATTAGCATTTGAAATAAATAAGTAAAAAGTGAGTCATTGGAGCCCGCCTTTAATTACAACAGACCAAGTATACTGCTTAGTTTCAGAACCTTTGGGTTGACTGGGTAAATGTTTCCTAAGCATGTGGATTAATATACAGACTTGTTTCCTTAGAACACAAAACTCCTAGCATCATTTCAAACAAATAAGAATTGGTTACAAATAAGTGCCCAGGGTCTAGAAGTGAAGCAGACTTCATGTCCCTCCCCCATAATTATTTTAAAACTAAACCAAGGTTGGTGAGTTCCAGAAGAGATGAAGGCGGCGGCGGTGGTGTGTGTGTGTGTGTGTGTGTGTGTGTGTGTGTGTATGTGATGAAGGAACTCATTCCACGGTGTCATGCAGATGGTGGCTAACTTGGCTTGTGTTTGGGAGGAATGAAGAATGGGGACTCATATGCTGTCTGTTTGGTTGTAAACTTCAAACAGTGCAAAGAGTACAGATTTACTCCGCACTATATTTTTCCCCAAAATATAAATATGTAATCATTATGCTTTCTTTGTCTTTATACAGTGACTATTATATTATCAGGAGTGCATTAGTTAGAATTTATGAAACGAATCCCCCCTCCTCTGTGTGTGTGTGTGTGTGTGTGTGTGTGTGTGTGTTAGTTGCTCAGTCCCACAAGGCTGGGTGTCTCAGCTAGTCTTCTGTATATGCTGTAATCCGAAGAAATAGGCTTCAATGCCAGTAAAGGAATGGATGTGCTGACGAGGTGAGGGCAAGCAGGCAAACTAATGAACCCTTCCTTCTTCCACTGCCCTTATATAGGCTACCAGCAGAAGGTGTGGCCCAGATTAAAGGTGTGTCTTCCTGCCTCAAGATTCAGATCACACACCCTCCATTTCTGGATTGTAGTTCATTCCAGATATAGTCAAGTTGACAACCAAGAATGGCCATCATAAGGAGTCAATGAAATCTTCAGCTGACAAATTTTATTCATTGAATGAAATTTTCTGCTGAAAAATCCAACACAGCAGTGTCACTACATCATCTCTTTTGATGTAAGAATGGCTTTGTTTTGCAGAACGTTCCTTTACAATGCTTTTTGACCAAAGTAACAATTCAAGATACTACTCTAGAGTTTTAATAACTTCCTTCCCAGAGAAAATGGTAACACAGCCGACATTACAAGTTTCTCTATGACCTCCAAGTAGTTGAAAGGGAATGATTGCCTTCAGATTTTATTTTTGCATGCTACTATTTCCTTTCCTGGCTTTATTGTCATACAGTAGTTGGGACATTTCTTTCATGGAAAATAAGATAATGATATAAACTCTGAAATGAACACTGGATTTACTGTGAGAAGAAGCTGAATCCTACCTCTGGCACTTACTGTAGAAGCTTGAAAACTGTACTTTGATGCTCTGTATTTACATTTCTTCATCTCAGAGATGGAGAGTGCAGCTCCTGCCTGACAGATAAGACTGTTGCTAGAACAAACATTAGTGTAATGTTGAAGGTGAGAAGTGTGGAAAGAAAAAAGCACAATCATGTATTTTGTGGCTTTGTTATTATGATCTGGTTATCTTCTAAGGGTTTGCTTCTCAATTAGCTGTTTGGAAGACTTTGCTTCATCAAAAATGTACTGTTCAGCAGAGAGTCTCAAATTATTCAAGTGACAGAGTACTTGGAAAGCATTACGCTCATGGCAGAAGGCCATGAAATACTGGTACTTTAGTTTATTATAGGAAATTGTGGTGTTTAATGGGGATATGTATTGAGGGAGGAATGTAATATCCAATCACAAATAAGAGCACATATATTTATGAAAATAGTTTTCCATTTATATTGTGCCCTCTGTTCATCAGTTATTTTATTATCTTCTGGCTTGACTTGCAGGTGAAAAGCAATGGTGGGCAAGATTCAAAAATATTAATGGAGAAATAGATCAGGAAAATAGTTCAAATATGGTCATCAACCAGACCCAGAAAATTAATCCAGTCTCTAGAAGGGAGTCTTCACAATTATGACCCAGAAATCTCAAACTGCTAGCCTCAGAATGCTATAACTTGGCACCATCGGTGGTAGCCCAAAGCTCAGTGACCTGCCCCTTTTCCCAGGATAGAGCTTTGATCAAATGGGACTTCCCTTATTGGCATGGTCTTAGTTTTCTTAGTCCCTATTTGCATGACAAAGATTATACAACTGGAAATTATGTGCCCAGCAGCTCACACTACCCCTGTCCCTACCCCACCCAGAATGGTGCATTGGCCAACCAGTATTGTCCTACTGGACATGGCCACAAATTGCATCTCAGTAAACCGCACACAAAGAGACTCACCCATATTCTAAAAATATTTCTCTCAGATTGAGACCCCCACTCCCAGCCCATTGCCTTCTGTGACAGGTCCTACTCTAGTGACTGGCCAGCCTGCTGCCCACTTACACTGTGGTCAATAAACTTTTCTTCCTATTCTGGTCTAAGGGTTGAATTTACTCACTGCCCACCAAACTCTTGCTTGCTACTGTGGTAGGCTAGCCACACCCACAGAGGTTCAGTTAAAAGGGAGGCAGTAACGGTGCATGCCTTTGATAAGTGCAGTGATTTTAGATTAGGAGTGCTGTTTTCTAAAATGCCAGTGAAGGTAAATTCAAATAATCTTTATGGGTGCTTTTAGGATTAAAGAAAAGCTGCTTATAAAGCCTTCCTTACACAATAATGAAAAGCACTGTTGCCCTTGTGAACAGAAAAGACTTTTGCTATTCCAGTAAAGGCTCTGTTCATTTAAAAATTACGTATTGCTCTCCTTTCCTCTCCTGTAACCTTAGCTAAACTTGTATTTGTGTCGTACGTATGATGTTTCATTTATTGACTGAAATTTGATGATCATTTGTTGAAATAACTAACTGAAACAGCATCAGGCATAAAAACATGCCCTGGACATAGACCATTTGACCATCTACCTTGGGTCTTCTATACTGCCACATACTGGTTAAGTACTAAGTCACAGAAAGGAAAAGTCAGATTGCTTTCCTTGGAAATGTTTCTGTTTTCACATGAAGATTTCATTAAGCTTTACCTTCCCCAGGACTAATAACTATTATGGCATAAAGCACGATGCACATGTGGAGGACACCAAAGTCAGTGTTGGAAGACTGACTTCTGATCCAAATATAGACCTAGTGTACAATGACCCCAATTCTGTAGATTTGGTTTGCTTGTCTTCACATAGGAGACTGAGGCTTAGAAAAGCCTGTCATACTGAGCCACGCCTGTGCTCCATCTTCCATAAGCACCCTAGTACTAGGCTGTATGGTGATATTTTATTTGTGCTGAAATGTGATTTTATTTGTATGTTAATAAATAAAGTTGCCTGGGGGTCAGAGCTAATAGCAAGCCATAGCAGAAATCTGGCAGTGGTAGTACAGTAATCTTATCACATGAAAGGCAGAGTCTGTGTGTTCAAGGACATAGCCAATTTGGAGACACACGCCTTTAATCTTAATACCAACCATAGAGACCTGGAGGTCTATATAGACAGGCAGTGATGAGGAGGTCATGTGGTTGGGTTTACAACCAATGAGAAGGCAGAACAGAAAGTCAATAAAAAGACAGACACACAGGGTGTAGGTCTCTTTCTCAGGGGAAGGACGGCAGCGGCAGCGAGTGGTAAGAAGGTGGTCTCAGCTCTTGGCTACTGCTCTCTGGCCTCTGGGCTTTTAACTCTGCATTTGGCTCTGTGTTTCTTATTTAATAAGACTTTACATCTACAAGGCTGAGGGGTCATAGCTATCCTCCTATCTACTGTCACTGAAATCTAGAGTCTGTGTAATGATGCCCCAATTCTCTTAAGCAATCTGCAGCATATGCTATTCACGAGTTTCTTCAGTTATAAAAGACACTGGGTTTTTACATCCTTAGTGTGAGATGGCCAATCCCTCTGGTAAAGTCCAAACTGCAGAAACCCAGTTTGAATCAAGTAGTACTAGAAGAAAGGAGAACAATAGAGGCAATAATGTAGTCATGGTACACTTCTCCATGGGAACTGTGCTGGACAAAGTCTGATACTGTGGCTTTAGTGTGATAGACAGATGAAGGATAGAAGATGATGCAGGATGGTGCAAGATGATAGTGCAAGTTATCGCACCACCTATCAGTCTATGTCAGAACAATTAGGAGCTGTTGATTGCTGTGATTTTCAGCAGATGGAACTCATAATATATTTTTTTAAAACTATAGGTGGGGATGGAGAGATGGCTCAGTGGTTAAGAGCACTTGCTGTTCTTGCAACAGAGTAGATTTCATGTCCTAGCACTCACATTGAGTGGCTCACAACCATCTCCAGGTGATCAATCATTTCCTTTTGGCATTCATTGATACCCTGTACATGCGCGCACACATACACACACACTTAAAGTGTATATGGTATAGCAAGAGGCTGAAGGGTAGATAACTGAATTATTGTTTGAAATTCTTCTCACATTCTCTTTATAAGAATAAATATGTGTACCTTTTGCTATGTGATCCTCAGGTACTACTCACCAGTGTGGACACAATTTGCTTTCCCACCCAATGATGCTAGACTTGATTTTGTAACTTTCATAGAATGCGAATGGGAATAATGCTAACAATTCCCCCAGAGTGCAGCATTCTGTGGTTTCTCAAGAATGATGGCAGTGCGGCTGGCCAAGGGAGAATGAAGAGACTTGTAGAGCCAACTTGTACTCTTCCTAGGTCTTCCACTGGGCAGAGGCTGAAGTCAAAGCAAGACTATTCAGCCATCCCACAAACTCATGAGCCCAGAGAACAAAGGCAGGAAGCAGACAGTTGAGAGTAGTTTGATACTGAGCCATAGTGTGGCTATAGTTGACCAAGACACTTAGAAGGCTTTATTTACTTATACTGTAAGATGGGAAAGAACCATCAATGAGTTGGCTACTTAGTCTCTTCACATTCTTCTTCCTCCCTGTCCCATTGAGCTTTGCCTTCATGCTTCTCCTTCCTTGCCTTCCTTCCTCCTACACATACTTTTGGAAAGTCTTCCACATGTCCAGGATTGAGCCTGTGCTGAGAAGGAAGGGTGAGCCAAATTAGACCTCTCGGGACCCGATGGTACAGAGAGCTTTATGGAGACATGTCTCTGACATGAGCTTTTCTCAGGATGAGAGAAAGACAAATAAGATATGGGTTTGAATGTATTAAAAATAAATTCCAGTCAAGTTGGAAGGAATTAGCAAAAGCACTTAGAAAATTTGGTTAACAGCAACTACATCAATTGACTAAATCCACACGGGGGATGATACTAGTATACTATGTGACTAGCTGGGACTAGAATCTCACCAATTCTGATGCTGTAGTCACCGAGACTCAGTGAAGCTCTGAAAGGTGATGTGACTATTTGGCGGGAAATGGAACATGAGATGGGAAACCAGGAAGACAGTTAAAGCTTCTTCTTTTTTGTAAGACAGATTTTAAAAATTAACATAGAAAACTAGAAAAAATACCCATGCTATTATCTATCTCCAGGCTTTGGACTGGCAATCTGGTGAAATAGATAAAGAATATGACCCAGAATATCAGCAAAAATAATTGAGAGAGAGTATAGGGAGGAGTTTCCCCATCACACAGTTTTAGCAATGCTTGGCTTTAGAAATTATGTCTATATATTACTATTTATTTCAAAGTTGTAGTGCTGGAGATAAAACGCAGAGTTTTGCAAATGCCAGAAGTCCTCTGCCACCGGGGTACACCCACAGCTCATTTTAATTCAGTGGTTCTCAGCCTTCCTAATGCTGTGACCCTTTAATACAGTTCCTCGTGTGATGATGACCCCCACTATAAAATTATTTTATTGCTACTTCATAACTATAATTTTGCCACTGTTATGAATCATAATGTAAATATCTTATATGTAGGATAGCTGATATGTGACCCCTGTGAAAGGGTCATTGGACCCCCAAGAGAACTGCTCCTTTTATTTATAAAAGGTGCGTTTAAATAGGGAAAGGCAAAAAGATTATCAGGGTGTTGCTCGAGGCGCTGTCCATTACTGAATATGCTGAGGGTGAATGGATTTGTCATCTGACGATCTGGATCTCAATGATCATCTCTCACAGCGTAGGAAATAGCTTTCAGTTTGAAAAGGCAATCAAGATCACCAGTGAGCTGGTGTCCAATGTGGATATTTGCCAGAGGACTCCAGAACCGCTGCCAGCCAGGCCCTGCATCACATACAGCATCCCTGCCTCCCTACCTCCTTTTCTCTGCTTTCTCATTCACACAGGGAATTTAGTGCAGCTGTTCCTGGCTGCTGCCACCCACTTCACATCCATTTGTCACCGCCTCTTGGTGCTGCGACACGTGCAAACCCTTTCTCACTTCCTGTCACTCTGTGTCCCTGAAATAATTCAAGTCGGCCCTTGTTGATGTTTTGGGTTTCAAAATTTTTCCTCCTTCATGGAGCATA